ACTCTTCAAATGACGCATTCTGATTGGTGGAATCTCGCGACACACACCGCCTGGTAAAAAAGGAAAACGATCGAAGGACGGGCTTCTGAGTTCGACTTCATCCAACTTTATTTTTTTACGGTGACATTCGAGTCTCACGGAAATATGACACTTTTCAAGGGAAACCAGCCGTTCTATTCATAAATCTACTCGGGAAAGGGTGGACTCAAGTAACAAATGGAGATGGAGGCTCCATTTGATGGGTTTCTGATTTTTCTCAATTTTATTGCGTTGAAGCCTGAAATCTAATTATCTTAATTAGTGGTTAGATGATTTTCTTTTCTTTTAATGTTTCGTCTCGCGCATTGAGTTTAGGTTGCGTGTTACTGGCGTCAAATAACCTTCATGTACACAAGGAGGGCATAATCACAGGCTAGGCTTTAACATGAGAAAAGTGAACAATTATAATGCACTTTTGATTATTCTTATAGAAAAAACACAAGCTAGTAATAACATGACCTTTATAATGTTGTTGACCAGAACTATTCATGCACAGAAAAAACATTCCCCCGCCAGGGAACTAACTCTGAGCCCCGTTCCTTCCTGTTACAAAGAAAGCCACCACCAAGCCCCAGTTGTCTAACAGCTGGAAAGCACGATCTGCTGTATAAATCACTATTCAGTCATAATATATTAAGAAAAAAAATTGCGCTATTCATTGGATAAGAATATTTGGTTGATATAGCGTTGACGGCTTTTGAAAATCTGGAGCCAGACTTCCTCTTTGAGTTTGAATTTCATTATAGTGATAACTGTTTTCTTATGGACGCTTTATTGAATCTACATATTTATTTTTTTATTAGATATATTTCTAAGAACGAATTTTGTTCGTAGTTTTTCCATTTTCTACTATACCCGCAAGACGGCCGTCGATAAAACTCGGAACACGGAACATTCCGGAACATCCCGGAACATCCCGGAACATGAAAAAATAAAAATAATTTTCATGAAAAAAAAATATAATTAAAATAATAATAATAATAATAAATTATTTTCTGTAGAAATTAATAATAACGTAAAATAACAAAAAAAACCCCAAAAAATAATGAAATAATGAAGAAAAAGAAACTGGTATCCTCTCTGAGTATGAGAAAACAATATTTTGTCGCAATGAATTTTTTGGGCGAGTGAGGGTCCATTCAAATGACAGTAATGAGTGAAGGCTTGCTTCTAAATTCAAAATACATTAAAATGGGTCGCGAGGAGGGGGGTTTTTTAAGCTTTCCTCACACAGCTACCTCTTGTAAGCGATTGCCATGAGTTAATCATTTGTCAGTTATCCTTTTACGGCTCTGCGATGGTCTGAAATGTCGGTGCAGTATTTCATGTCAAGCCAAGTCGGTAAGTAGCTCATTTCAAGCCAACATATAGTCTCCTTATAGTAAGCGACATTTGCTTACTTGAGGTGCTTTGCTTCACTTGAGGTTGACAGACTAGGCGGCTCTGTGAACTTAAGAAGAGTATAGGGGCTCCTGTCTTTGGGTTTTAGTGGACAATACTCACATTCGTAGTAGTTTCTATACTGTTTACAGTCAGCCTGATATTTCAGACGTCTCCTCGAGTCGCAAGAGGAGTTTGCAGGGAGACGGCTAAAATTCAGGCTAACTGATAACAGTTAGAAACTACCGCTGCGCTACCACTGCCACTGCAACTATTCAGGCGAATGTGAATCTTTAAGTTAATTATCCAAGTCCAAGCCGACGAGCCCCTAAGCTCTTCTTACGGTCGCAAAGCCGTAAATGGGTAACCGTTAAACCGCATGGCAAACATTTACAAGAGGTGGCTGTGTGAGGAAAGCTTGAAAACTCCCTCCTCGCGACCCATTTTAATATATTTTGAATTTAGAAGCAAGCCTTCACTCATAACTGTCATTTGAATGGACCCTCACTCGCCCAAAAAATTCATTGCGTCAAAATATTGTTTTCTCATACTCGGAGATGATACCAGTTTCTTTTTCTTTCTTTCTTTCTTTCTTTGTTTCTTTATTTTTCGTTTTTATGTTATGTTTTGTTATGTTATTTATTTTGTTATTATAAATTTTTGCAAAAATTGTTTCCTATCTATTGTTCTTTTTAGTATTATTTATTATTATTATTATTATTAATATTATTTAATTAATTAATAATTTTTTCATTAAAAAATATTTTAATTTTTTCATGTTCCGGGATGTTCCGGGATGTTCCGGAATGTTCCGGAATGTTCCGGGATGTTCCATGTTCCGGGTTTTATCGACGCCCCCGCAAGACTACATTTTTTGGAATGCAATCATAACTGAATAAAACGAAGAAGCACGATATATACTATCTCAAAGTTATTTCTCAATGCATAGTGAATTAACGATCTTTCTTTTAAATTTTATTTGACTGTGCTAGATTCATTAAGTTTGCTAAATTGTATTTGCGACTGAGAGAGGTAGTTTCTCTCATACAAGCAAAATAGTCTCTTTATTCACTGATAATTTCTAGGACTGCGGCCTGGATACTTCTTCAATCATTATACGGGACACGAAAATCCAACCGGTGTAAGCATTGCCCAAACTATAGCTACTACACTGGCCTACCCATAATTCCACCCGAACCGTTCCTTTGGAAATGTTTTCGCAGTAGCCGTCAAATGACCGATGGTGATGAAGGTTTGGGATACCCCCAGCCCAGTCACTGTACACACCAGCCTCGATCGTCATTGGTCCACTGCATTCATTTCCATTGAATTTGAAGTACAATCGAATACACTTCTGATCACTATGCATTCTCACATTTCCCTGGTATGAGACTTTAAGAGCTGTATCGGACTTCAATTTGTTGAAGCTGCAATCCTGAAATAAAACCAAAAGTAATGAACTGCTTTCTATTATTATATTTTTAATACGGCTTTGGCAGGGAGCGGATTTAAAAGTTGAGAGTGGT